TATATATATATATATATATATATTCGGTGTTTTTTTTTTCTTCTTTAGAATTTTATCGCTGGTGATTAGCATACAGTGGTGCCCCCATAGCGCTCAAATCCTGGGTCCGCCTCTGATTCTAGGGGATGAATCAAGGAGAATCTAGCAACAAAATCAGGCATTTCCATAACTTTACTTATTATTTATTTATTATATTCTGACTTTGTATTTTTGATGAAACACAATCGATATAAATGTTAGGATACATGATATCTTTATGATGATCTTGAAATACATGTTTATTGTATTTAAGAATGAATTAGTTAATATTAAAATTAACTTCATTATTTTATTACTAAATTAAAAGTCGTTAGTTGACGTTTATTATTGTTACATGTACAGTCAGACCTCTCTATATCAGCATTCTTATATAATAGCACTTCGCTATAGAAGCCAAATTTTTTCGGAACCAAATCTCATGTTCTATTATAATATATGTTTTCTATAACAACAATTCGCTATAACATCCAAAAATATCCGAAACAAACGAGGTTGTTATAGAGAGGTTTGACTGTATAAGAGTACGTGAAAATATAGTTTCATAGTGGGAAATGATCTAAAATATTTTATTTGGAAGGATCTTGTGCCTATACTTGAAAGTTGTTTTGTTATGAGATTAAATAATGTTGATATTTTTGGATATTATTTTAAAATTGGCGACTTTTGTGAATTTGGCGTCTCTTAAGAGAAGCATAATCCATTACTCCCTCCGTTTCAATTTAGATGATGTAGTTTCACTTGGCACAAAGTTAAGGAAAAAAGAATACTTTTGAAATATGTGGTCCTAAAAGCTCGAGGGGCAAAATATTTGTGGGGCCATGATATTTTTGTGGCTATAAAAGCTTTTCATTAAGGTAAAAGTGGGTAAAATAAAAAATTTAAATTGTTTCAAATATAGAAATGTGTTTTTTTTAACGGACTAATAAGGAAAGTGTGTCATCTAAATTAAAACAGATGGAGCAATATTTAGCATTATATGCTTGACCATAATTTTGTATTTCGAAATGTATACTTCCACCATGAGAAAGAAGCATTGTCAAACTATGTTAACTTCAGTTGTGCTTCAAGTGACATATTCAAGTCCTTTAGATATTAAATGACCTATGAAATTGCGTTTAAATGATGAACTTGGAGAATAAATTAATACTTTAGCATGAAAAGATAAGAAACCCCAAACTTGTTTAGAACACCGGCGTAATAATAGTAATTATTGTAACGTCAAAAAAAGAAAGAAGGACATTAATTGTCAAAACAATCTCAAAGTAATATTTTTGAATTAATCACTAAATAAGATATTTCAAATTAAATATTCAGCTACTTAACCTTATAAAGTTTTTTTGTGCAATATTAAATTCCTAACTTAATCGATTATGTTTTATACATTTACTTTAATGAAGATATTAGCAGCTTATGTTTCAGCCTGTTTTACCATTGCACCACATTCACATATTATTCTGTTTGTCTTAAGTTAATTGTCTCTTTGCAATGGATTTTCAAACTATGGTATTAGATTGGATCATTGGAACCAACACATGAATCTAATTAAATTTTAATTTTTCATCTTTGTAGGTTCAGGCGATATCCAATTATTTGACCCTGATATACAAGCCATTATATGATGAAGATCCATGTTAATCATTCAAAAAATCTTGTACGTACTTTATTCTTTATTTATTTAAAATTTTGTTTTATTAATTTGATATTATTTTATTAAATCGTGTACTATATGACTCGGCATACACGTGCAACGCACGTGCCGAGAAACTAGTTTTACATAAAAGACGAACCGTGTTGCAGAGATCAAGTGGGTTCAAAAGAAGCCACAAGTTTGAACTTGGTATTGCCTCATGCTAACTTTTATTTTATGTAGTGACCAAACCTCGTCAAGCAAACAAGTAAAACAGAACTGCAAATAGTCCACACATGACTCATCAAAACAGAAATGCAATCCAGATTTGCATACTGATCTTTTGTGCACTCCCTTTTTCTCCTTTGCCAACCAGCACTCTCCCACCCCTTGGTCCAGCCTATACCTGTTAATCGGGCCGGGCTGGCCTGTTCATAACCCGGTTAGACCCAGTTCAGCCCAAGTCAGCCCGGTACTGTAGGGGATGGAGACGGGCTGGGAAGGGTTGGGCGGGGAGACGGGCTTGGACGAACAAAATTTTGGTAACTGGTGCACCGGAACCCGGTTACCCGTTATCGGATTTTTACCGGGCTATAGCCCGGTTACCGTTACAAAAAATTTTATTTTATTTTTTAAATTTCTGGACCGTTGCCAACGGTCAAATTCAAAAATGACCATTGGGCAACGGCCCTTTTTGCAGAAATGGCCATTTCGGCCTACCCCCTTGAGAAAATAGCCCCCCACCCTCTAATAATTGATAAATTACAATTTTAACCTTTTAAAACTATAAATAGCCCCCCTTCTTCTTCATTTTTCTCACAATTTACTCTCTTACTACTCTAATTCTCTCTTGATAATATTGATTATTGCTCTTTAATTCTCATTTACTTATTATTTCAAATTTCATCAAATATTTAGTTTAGCCACTACAAAATTATTATTATCAAATATCAAGTATTCAAGTGAAGTGTGGTATCACGTATAGGTCTATCAACTGAAGTTTGATATCAAATTTAGTGCGACATCCGGAATCCCGGTACACTCGTTGCATCTCTTTCTCTTCTTTGGTGTATATTTTTATTTTATTATTTAGAATTATTAATTTAATTTACTTAATAGATATATTAAGAGCAGCCAAAATAGCGTGCACTAGTAGGGGCGGTAGTAGCAAGAGTAAAACTTCTAAAAAATCAAGAGGTGGTGTTGGTTCTTCTAGTAGCTTTACACATATTTCTGAAAGTTCACCTGAAAATTTAAATGTAAATTATGAGCGACTTCAAGAAAATTATGGTATAGATGATAATTTAGATGATATTCAATCACCTGATAATCTTGAAACATCACCAGCTACACCTAGTAATGCTAGTCAAACTCAAAATATTAGGGGTGGAGGTCATGGTAATACAAGTAGGCCTCCCCTCCCTATTAAGAAGAATCGAAGATTAAGAAGTGTTGGAATTTTTTTGAAAGAGTTGAAAAAGATAAAAATTATGTAAGATGTAAAATTTGTAAGGAAGTTTATAAACATGAGACCGGAGGTAAGGGAGGGGGAACGGTATTCCTAGAAGTACTTGTAGAGCTGATATCTTTAGGCTTTTTGGACAATATCATACATATATCCGTTATTTGTTCGTCAGTCTTTCTTGTAGAGTTTCTCTTACTTCTGATATTGGCCGTATTGTAAGTGGAAATGATTATTTGACTGTTACATGCCATTGGATATATCATAATTTTTGTATGCAAAAACATATTATTACTTTTAAATATGACGAAGATCAAAGCCATACCGGTGCATTTATAAATAATACAATCCATGAAGTTGCTATATTTTATAATCTTGCAAAAAAAGTTTTGCGTATGTCATTTGATAATGCTTCTAACAACAATGTTGCTATTACAATATTAAAATTGCATCTACACCCCCCACTTCTTGAAACATTTCATGTTAGATGTGCATGTCATATTTATAATTTAATTGTGAAGGGTGGCCTTGAATTATTTAGAGATGAGATCACTTTAGTTAGAAGAGTTGTTGGTGTAATTCAAGGAAATAATAGAAGTGTTAGATTAAATGCATTTAGGGAAAAATGTGTACAATATGGACTAAACCAAGACTCATGCCTCAAGAAATAGCTACTAGGTGGAATTATACTTATTTATTCTTAAAATGTTGTTATAAATATAAAATGCCTATAACTGAAGTTGCTAATTCTCATTGTACCAATCCTAACCGTTTGTTAACATCTAGAACTTGGGATGCCATCGAAGATGTTGTAAAAAATTTACAAAAATTTTATGTGGCTACACTTGAGTTTTCTGGAGCTTGTTATCCTACTATTGCAAATGGTTTAGTTCATATTGCTGAAATTTCTCTTTTACTCCATAATTTGAAGAAGAAAGAAGGATATACTTCTGTTGTTGAATCTATGCTAGATAAATTTAAAAAATATCTACCCAATTCCCCCTATTTACCTAATTGGTGCTATTTTAAACCCTTCTATCAAAATGGCCACTTGTCGTCAATTAATCACTGCTTTATATGTTTATATGGATATTGGACCAACTGAAACTCCTTATATTGAAACGTATTTCTGATCTACGCAAACATTTACAAACTTATTATAATTATTATGCTAACATTGTTGATGTTTTTGCTGCTGTACATGCAAATATTCCTTCAAGTTCAGTTTCAACATCTGGGACCGGTGCTTTGGATGATAATGATGATGTTGAAGATTATTTGATTTGGTCTACACTAGGAGAGCATCAACAAACCAGTAGCAGGAATATTGATGAACTCCAATTCTACTTGCAAAAGTCACCAGAGCCCCGCACAAAGGAATTTCTACCGCTAGGTCGGTGGAGGAGCAACTCAAATCAATTTCCTGTTCTTTTGGCCATGACTCGAGACGTGATAAATGTGTCGATTTCAACAGTCGCATCAGAGAGCGCATTTAGCCAAGCAAGGAAGCAACTAGGAGATACTTGTCATTCATTGGGAAACAACGCTTTGGAAATTCTAGTGTGCTTCGGAGATTGAATAAGATCAGAACGACGAAATCAAGAGCGTGAAGAGGTAGATGAAGCGGAGGACCAAGAAATTGGAGATATAATGGTTTATGGTTCCGATTCAAGTAATGCCGGAAACCAAGAACCTCATGTTGACATGGATGAACTTACAAAAATGATGCAAAGCATGTGATGTACTCTTTCTTATTTTTTATAATTGTTGCAAATTTTTAATTTGCAAGTTCAAAAATAAAAAAATCAAATATAGAACTTGCAAATTCATTTGAAGTATTATTTATTATTCAATGAAAATATAAAATGAAAGCTTTCGGAGTTTGATCCTTACATATTGCCTATTGGTCTTATTAAATAATTTTTTTAGCCACTTACTTTCAAATTTCAATTTTAAAGTTAGTGCTAGTTAGAAGAGTTGTTGGTGTAATTAAAGTTTAATTCTAAGCCTTAAAAGTTTGCAAACACTTAAGTATCAATAGCATTGAATAAGAAAAACAAAATATACTTTAAAAAAAAAAAAATAGCCCGGCGCGGTCCGGACCTATTAAGCCCGAACCCTGACGGGCCCAAAAAACCCAAAATATCCCAGCCCGTAACAGCCCGGAACCCAGCCCACTAACCAGCTCGGAACGATAACTGGACGGGCTGTTTTTTTCCGTGTCCAGCCCAGAACAGCCCGCCCGATTAACTATTAACACCTCTAGTCCAGCCTCCTCTCCTTCTCAATTGTCTAGCATCACCTAAATGAGATTAGTTCTCTTCTTTTCTTTGTATTATAATATAATAATTATAATTTTAAGTAAATAGTTATGGCTTGAAGTGATGGTTCTTTGTTAGTCTTTTTTTTTTTATAAAAAAAATTAAATAATAGTTTGGTTCATTCACTTGATACGGAAACAGCAACAATTTGAATAATTTGCTAGCAGTTAAAATAGATTTTTTGCTAAATATTTACTACTCCATGTATTAACAGTTTACTCATATTCAACCAACACAAAATAACTTCATTTTATCCAAGTATTTAAGCAAAGAAAAAGAAAAGGAGAAGGCAGACAATTGCTTTGAGGCCACATTATTAACGGAAAAAGGTAAAGCCATGCCCAGTGCCACTCCAATTGCTACTAGTGTTCTCCCCTATTCCAAAGCTTATGATAAAATTGTGCAGTATAGAAGGCCTACTTTTACTATCTACGGAAACACCAAACTAACTAGGCTTCCAATTACCAACCAAACTTAATTTTTCGAGATTGCAATGCATTGACTCCAACAATCAAATATATAATGCAGTATATAAGCTGTGATTAGCCTATTCCGTAATATTAACCAGCTCAACGGAACAAAAAACAAGTTAGTAACTGAAACAAAAAAAAACGTACAGTTTAATGATCTTGGAGTAATCGCGAGTAAGAATGTTGTAGCCAGTGGACATGCGAGTATCTGCTGCAATTACACAGTAATCTGCTCCTGCTACTGCCACGCACGTTCTGCAAAGTGGTACGGATAGGACATAAGCACCGACATGGACAAGGGAAACAATAGTAATTAATGAAACATTACCCGCCATTGTTGTCATAAGGAGACCAGTTGACTTGCTGTTTCGGCATGGTGATTCGTTGAGAGAGAGAGAGCTAGGGCTGAAGAAGAAGATTGAATTTGAAGAAAGAGGGAAGAACTGATGATTCGTCTTCAACAAGTCATCGACTCTACGCAGTAAGATGGGCTTATTATTAGAAGGCCCCCGACTACTTCCTCATTAGGCCCAATGTTCTGTCCATGAAGCAAACAGGGGTCAATAGTAAAAGACCACCCAAAGAAGTGTCATATTTCTGCAATTTTTTGCTTTTTTTAAGTACGTACGTTACCAATATTTGGAATATATCAAAAATTATTTGTTAAACAGTGTTTGTTATAATTTGGTCCATTTATTTCTTGTATACTCTTCAATTTCAATTTTAACTCAACTACTCTTTTTCATTAACTTAACCAAATACTTTGTGTTTGGACATTGTCCGTTCACGTGGAAAATTGAAGACTTGGATTTTTTAGTGTGAAACTATTATTTCATCTAAAATGTACTATTCAGAACTAGACACTAGAGATTGCAATACCACCTTCAAACCTTCATGCAACAACTCATTCAAAACCCAGACATTGATCTGGGAAATTTCATTCCCCCAAAACCTCTCGATATAACCAATGAATACGATAGGGCAAATATCTTCTTTCAAAAACAAACTCCTAGCTTACGAAATGATGGCAGATTCTGGGACAATACACCTCGAAAACAACGCCAACCAAGTTGAATCCCCACCCTCTTGCTCAACCCAACCTATGGAGGAAGAAAAGATTGAGGAAGAAGATTTAACTACACTGAACACCAAAGGCATCAAACACATCCATTTTAACAGATGAAGATTGAAGCCGTATGTACTCTTCATGGAAACACTCCCTAATTATTAAACTAATTGGGAAGCGTATACAATACCAATATCTAATGGAGAAAATCATCAAACTATGAAAACCCACAAAGCCATTCCTCCTGATCGACCTAGGCCATGACTACTTTGTGATATTCACTAAGGAAGAAAACAAGATCCAAGCCCTACAAAATGGTCCTTGGTTCATTAATGGTCACTACCTATCAGTTACATAATTGGAACCAAACTTTGTAGCATGAAAAGAAAAACATATTCACACGGCCGCATGGGTACGCCTACCATAACTACCTGCGGAATTCTATGATGGAGTAATACTAAGTAAGATTGGGAATTCTATTAGAAAGTTTCTAAAGGTGGATGCATGCACCAGTGCAACACTAAGGGATCGCTATGCAAGATTATATATTGAGATTCCACTAGAGAATCTGGTCCAACCTAGCATTCTAATTGGATCTCACCTCCAACAACTATCATATGAAGGGAAAAACATTTATGCAAAAATGTGGTCGGCTAGGACACACTAACACCTCCTGCCCATACATCCCAAAAATCCCAGTAGTCATGGAAATTCAAAAGCCATACGACGAACATCCTCTACCAAATGATAAGTGGCACACTGTCTCCTTCACGAAGAGAAAAAACTCCAACAAATACAATAATACAGAGAAGCTTCACTCCGTACAAAAAAAACAAAGTCGCGATGCCTCCCCAAATTCCAAAACAGGTATAGCCATAAAACAAAATTGATGCAACATCAGGTAAGTACCTTAACACTCAAAAGAAAATTTACAAATCAAAAAAATCTGATTTTAATGTTGTCTCTTCGTCTTCAGAGCCTTCATTATTTAATTACACTACCACCTCCTCTTCCCAAGATTTTGAAAACCCAAAAGCCTTGGATCACATGCCCACAACTAGAATGCATTCTTCCATAAAAGAGGACATTAATAGTATTCGTACCTCTAATAAATTCTCATCTTTCATGGAGGAAGACAATAATTCCTACAACTCTAAATCCCTAACGGATAATTTCAAATACAAACATTCCTCCAAAACCACCTCTTCGATACCCTCTAGGCAGTCCACATCTCCAAATAACACACAAGCTAATCCAATTTTGCCAAGTGGCATAGCAAAACCATGCAACACACTAAACCTTAACCTACTGACACCTATGCTAAATACTACTACAAATCCAATTGAACGTCCAAATCTTCAAACAACCCACAACTTTGACATACACTTGGCCCAACCCACTGGCCAAATGTCACCAAACCTTAAAGAACCAATCACCATTAATCCTTCTCCCCAAGAAACCTCAAACCATATGAAAATACAATCTTCAACAAAATTATTTCAATCATAACCTCTAAACACTTACTCAAGCAATACTTCCTCCTCCTCTATATCAACTAACTCCACTCCTCACAACTCCACAAACGACTCCCACACTAATGCAAATCTCCCAACGGTTTCTAATTGCAAATCAACCACCCTTCCCGCCGCAAATACCCTTCCACCCACCCACTTATGTAACACTACCACTCCCTCTAAACCAAGACCCAATGTCTTGGATCGAGCAAGGCCTTCGAGGACATGTGGCCTTCTTCCCCAAGACCATCAACGGCCAGGAAGTATGGATTGTTCTTCAAAATTCGAACTTCTTAGAAGTAACAGACTCGAATCGTTTAAAAATGGCCCAGATCTAAGAGATACAAACGAAAATTAGGGTTTTAAAAGAAACCTAAATACAGATGGAAGAACCTGCTTAAAACTTCAAAGATCATAACAAATATAGTATGACTTTGCCCAAAATCACACCGGAGAAGCCATGAACAGCCAAAACAGCAACCCTAGATACAAGTTGGCATGACCCAGGGCCCTTGACAGCCTCAGAGAGGATGAGCAAGGCAATGGAGGAGCCATTGGAGGCCTGAGGTTGAAGAGTGGTCGCCGGAGAAGATCGGAGAAAGGAGGCAGTTGAAAAGGATTTAAGGTTAGGTTGAGATAAGAGAGGAGATGAGAGGATTTAGAGGCGGTGGGCTATAAAGAATGACTAGGGTTAGGGGGTATTAGGATTTAAAAAGGAAAGAATGGGTATGGACCGTTGATCTGGGAGATCAACGGCCAGGATTTGACCGGGTAGATGGGTTCCGAGTTTGGATAAGTGTATATAGGGTCTGGTTTGGGTATTTTAATAAGAAATTGGGTTGGGTTCGGTCCAATTTGGGCTGCAATTGAAATGCCAAATCCGGCTATAATTTAAATAGTCACTTTTCCCTATTTAATTTATAATAAGTAATAAACAACTTTTGAAAAAATAATTTTCTATACCAAAATGATTTAAAATATGTAATTATCATTTTAAAATATAGGGACCAATTTTATGCATATAAAATGTAATTATACATTAAATGGGCTAACATTGCAATTATATGCAATTTAGCTTAAAAATACCAAATGCAATTATAAAAATGCATAAAAATAGATTAACCATATTTTGGTATAAGTATAGAAATTAAATGAATAAACCATCATAACAATAATTTGGGGAATAATTATTGGGATTTTATGAATAAAAGGGGAGGAAATAAATCAATTTAAATCCTTAAAATTATGAAAAAATTATAAAAACCTTGTGCATACTTATATATGCATATATATGCTATTTTAATGGTATTTACACATATAAAAAATATATAAAAACAAATTGGGTATCAACAGCTGCCCCTCTTTACCCGAGAAGGATGAAAGAGTTTTCGGGTAAAGAAATGATGGCTAATTTTGACCGGATGGGATATTTTGAAAGATAGAGGCCGAACTCCGGTTTTCTAGTTGCCTGCATATCCCTAGTTTTATAGGAATTAGGCCATGTGTAGTTCTGGATTCACCCGCGAAGTAGGCCAATGAAATTATTGCAAGAACAGACACGAGATGTGGAAACGGCTACGGTGAGCGGTTAAGGCTCGGACGGTTGGAGGGAACTGGAGCGAGATTGATCCTGCTAGGATAGTGGTTTCTTACTGGTTACCTCCAGATAAATTATGCTACAAACGTATTCGCGAAAATTTAAACATGATGCAGATTCCTTTCGGACCATGAAGGTTGTCTTCGGATGGTTAAAGATGACGTCCTTGGACCATGATGTCATGGACCATGAATTGTTTATTGAGGGATTCGTAGTCCATGAAATGGTGTTCTCAGGCCATGAAAATGGTGCCTCCTAACCATGACGCCTTTGAATAATGATATGCAAGTTCGAGAGATCCTCAGGCCATGGTATGGTGTCTTCCGGCTATGAGAATGATGCCTTTAGACTATGACACTTTTGGATAGATTGGCATTGTTTCAGCCCATGATATACAATAATATGATGTAGCAAGACAAGGCTTAGTCTTGTGAAATGGAGGGCAGAGCTTAGCCTGATTGAAAAGCAAATAGATAGTAGTAGAAATAGAGCAATATCTGTGCAAAGAGGGACAATGCTTAGTCCCGTGCAAGTGGGGAGGCAAGGATTAACCTTATGCAAATGGGGAGGCAAGGACTAGCCTCATGCAAATATATAGTCAAGGACTATACTCATACGAATATGGAGTCAAGGACTAGACTCATGCAAATATGGAGGCACGGATTAGCCTCATGTGAATATGGAGTCAGAGATTAGACTCATGCAAGTATAGAATCAAGGATTAGACCTATGCGAATATGGAGGCAAGGGTTAGCCTCATGCAAATATGGATTCAGGAATTAAACTCATGCAAGTATGGAGTCAAGGATTAGACTCATACAAACGTGGAGTCAGAGATTAGACTCATGCAAATGGGAAGCAAGGGTTAGCCTTATGCAAATATGGAGTTAGGGATTAGCCTCATGCGAATATAGAGTCAGATATTAGACTTATGCAAATACGGAGGACATGGATTAGTCCCATGCAAATGTGGGGGACATGGATTAGTCCCATGTAAATGTGGAGTCCATGATTAGACTTATGCAAATACGGAGGACATGGATTAGTCCCATGTAAATGTGGAGTCCATGATTAGACTTATGCAAAAATGGAGGACAGGGATTAGTCCCATACAAATGTGGGGGACAGGGATTAGTCCCATGCAAAGAGAGAATAGCAGATAAGGGTAGTGTATGTCTTAGCTGGAGATATATTCGGTATCTGATGGTCAGATGGATGGTGAATTTGCTTTGTGTATACATGTTTCGCGAATGCTACCGTTACATCAAATGTGCTTGCATTCAAAGAAAAATTGTA